CACACACACACACACATAAAAAAGGCCCGCTGTTTACCTTCCGGTTGCTGTGCATGAGATTTGCGCAAATGGGGAAAAGAGAGGCTGCCTTAATCTTACTTTCGCTCCATTTTCTCTCCCGCATGTGCAATCTAATTTTTGTTTGTTTATTTTTATCCTCCTTTATTCCTTTACCTTACGTTTTTTTTTGTTTTGTTTTTGTTTCAACTTACTTTGGTGTAGCACATAAAGCAATGTATATGTGCTACACGAATGTTAGCAGGATTGCTTATTGAATTGATCTTATTTGATATCTTATTGCATATTGCGAATTCCATTTTTTTCTGGTCAATGATGGAAAGGGAGGAGAAGTAAAAAGTAAATTCACATTCGAACAGTGTCTCATCTCTCTCTGTCCCTATTTCGGCACATACAACTTATACACACGCGCGCGCACGCAACCAAATGAACACACATACACATAGCATAATGTACAGTATGTTTATATATACATAGATATACAAACATACATATATAAACATACATACATATACAGAGAGAGAGAGAGAAAGAGAAAGAGAAAGAGAAAGAGAGAAAGAGAAAAGAAAGAAAAGAAAAGAAAAGAAAGAAAAGAGAAAGAAAAAGAGAAAGAGAAAGAGAAAGAGAGAGAGAGAGAGGGGGGGGGGCATAACAATAAAGAGATCCCTGTCCCCAAAGGCAGTATTCTGAATGAATACAAAAATCACCGATTATCAATGACCATTATAAAGGAGACAACTGAGACTCACAGCGTCAAATATTTCCAATAAAGAACAAATTAAGGACGTCGTTCCCCCCCCCCCTTTTTTAAACGCCCAAACTTGATTAAACAATTAAACTTCCACATGTAGAGTACCTCTTTTTTTTCAAAACCAACTCTCCTCCTTCTCAGACAAAAGTAGTCATTTCAAAAACTTTTTGCCTCCAGACATCAAAACGACTCTTAACAATTGCATAAGGAAGTACCAGCTACTATCCTTTACAGCAATAGCAGCCACTCAGCCCTTTTATTGTTCCGAAATGAGCAGAAAAAAGCACACAGGAGCACGAGTGAGAGCGCCGAATATCGTGAGAGAGTGCTGCGCCGGCACATGTCCGCTGGCTTGCTGCTGAATAACGAATGAGATGAGAAGTACGTAGCGGTACTTAGCACACTCGCCCCCCCCATTACACATTACTTTTGGAATGGCCTTTTATGCTGGCGGGATGGAGGCCGCTCTTGCGCTGCCAAAGGCACTCAACACCTTATCTCTCTGCTCTGTACTCCTTTCCTCCCACTCTCTCTTCTTTTGCATTTACACAAGTACACACACACGCGCGTGCACGGACAAGTACATGTACTCACATATATATGTATACGATATAAATATAATTACATATATATTCATATATATGTATACGACATAAATATAATTACATATATATTCATATATATGTATACGACATAAATATAATTACATATATATTCATATATATATATAATATATATATATATATATATATATATATATATATATATATATGTACGTATTTACAGGTCTGTATGTATGTATATATGCGTGTGTGCGTGCGTGCGTGTGTGTGTGTGTGTGTGTGTGTGTGTGTGTGTGTGTGTGTGTGTGTGTGTGTGTGTGTGTGTGTGTGTGTGTGTGTGTGTGTGTGCGTGTGCGTGTGCGTGTGCGTGTGCATGTGTGTTCAAGATCACGCCCCCTACCAAAAATACAAAGCAATAATAGAGCATGAAACACATACACCACTCTAGCAAGACTTAGTGTTAAATCCAGAATATCGGGGGAATTGTCATTACAACGGAGGCCGCTGCCCATAAAGGGAGAGGGTGGTAAAACAGGCCGACAAAACCCACAACCATATGAAATCAATGAAACAAAAGCGTTTTTCGGCAACGTTTTGTAAGAAGTGTTTCTGTCCTTCCACTGTACTACATGTTATATTTACCGACGTAGCTTTAACCGTCATTCTTTTAACAAAAAAACAATAACAAACAAAAACAAAGGTTGCAACAGTGTATCTTCAGTGTATAAATTTATTATCATATATGTGATTCCAGTTAAGCACCGGTTAGGAGGCCTGTCTTCTAATTCAAATCCCTTGTCTTAATCAAATACTAATCCTTACAGTAAATAAAATAATCACTTGTCCAGATTTCGAAAACAGAAAGGACCATACTCATGAAAGGAGAAAAAAAATCATATCACACCCAAACGACACGAAGAAAATACAAACAAAAATATACAAAAAAAAGAGAGAGAAAATCGAAGCAGAAATAGAAAAAATGAAGAAAATAAAGATAATAATAATAAGAGAAAACGAAACTCTAGGTCCAACGAATGCCCAAAATCCTCAGGCTTTCAGACGTAGCTCTTGGTGGAGTCTCTTGAGCCCTACAGAGCAGCCTTTAGTACCCAACTACACTACTTTGAATGGCCGGACGACTGACGAGCTTGTTGGCCCTGCTTTCCACGCCCCCCCCCCCCCTCTCTCTCTCTCTCTCTCTCTCTCTCTCTCTCTCTCTCTCTCTCTCTCTCTCTCTCTCTCTCTCTCTCTCTCTCTCTCTCTCTCTCTCTCTCTCTCTCTCTCTCTCTCTCTCTTGTTTTATTTTCTGCTTTTCCTTATTTTCTTTTCTGGTTTTCTGGGTTTCCTTTCCTTTTGTTTTGCTTTCTAGTTTTTTTCTTTCTATGTTATGTTGCCTTGTTTTCTTTTGTTTTTTCTTGTTTTTCTTTTCTGTTTGTCTTCTTTTTTGTTTTACCTTTTCTTTTCTATTTCTCTTTTTTATCTCTTTGTTTCTTCTTTTTGTTTTGTTTTCTTATTGTTTTCTTTCTGATTTTCCTTTTTTCTTTTGTTTTATCTTTTGTTTTCTTTTTTTGTGATATATATATATATTATTGAGGAATTATTGTAATGTCATTTTACGATTATTTGAGATATTTAGACGAGGACGCCCGTCGTTGCCAAAGAAACAAAAACAAAGCTCTTGTATGATGACTGGACGTGAGTTAGAGGAAGGTCGTCTGCAAATAATATACGATAGTTGTTTTGTCTTTGAGTATCTGTTCATGCGAAAGTCATCAAACGAAGGTATAACGAGTGTCATGAGGTCGGATCTTTTTTATATCAGGGAGTCCCCGTTACGTTAAAAGTTAATTTGTCCCTTCCATAATGTGACACATGTTATTTCTCTGGCACCACGCATTAGGAACAATCCGTGAAACTGTGTGGCTGTTTTACACAAGTTTCGTAGAACATTAAACAGTTTATAAAGGGTAAAACATTCTTGTCCACTGGTGCATGGTATTTATCATGTTAGTGGATGACTGTTTGGCGGAATTACATTCTACTGCGTTTGCAACATTATGCATGACTGCTGCATGTTGCATCTCGGCGCTTGCAACTCCATACCACTCTCCTTTGAAAATACAACATAACGCACTTACTCGGGTAATAGAAATGGCCATCATTCATCTCTCGACTTCGTTTCCCAACTTCGCCAACTCATATCCCTCTGTTGCAAAGCTTTCCTGCTAGTTTGGCCGTTTGCAACATCAGTTCCTCATTTCCTACTGACCCTCATTCGACGTTCGCTTAAACGACCTGCACGAACTATCCAACAGGGACTAGACGACGGAAGTTGTAATTGGTCAGTGGAAATGGTGCCGATGTGGTCTTGGTACTTTTCGTAATTGGGTGTCTTACGCGGGGGAAGAAGGGAGGCCCCGGGGACGCTTTAGGATAGCACTAACACGCTACAATCAACAGCGACAAAGAGGGAGAGGGAGGGAGAGAGGGAGAGAGAGAGAGAGAGAGAGAGAGAGAGAGAGAGAGAGAGAGAGAGAGAGAGAGAGAGAGAGAGAGAGAGAGAGAGAGAGAGGAAGAGAAAGGCATATAGAATAGTGGAAGCAGGAGAGAGAGAGAGAGAGAGAGAGAGAGAGAGAGAGAGAGAGAGAGAGAGAGAGAGAGAGAGAGAGAGAGAGAGAGAGAGAGGGGGGGGGGAGGGAGAAAGAGAGAGAGAGACAGAGACAGACAGACAGACAGAGACAGACAGACAGACAGAGAGAGAGGGGGGGGGGGGGGGAATTGACTCAATGTTTTCAGTAAGTTCTAAAAAGTTTGCATATATAAGGACCTTGCCTTCCGATGCCTTAGGAACAAATGCACTCATGATATACAGCCAAACAGTAAAACACACGCATAGACATAGAAACACAAACACATAAAAAGATATAAACACAAACAGATTAACACATACACACACACATATACATAGATACATACGCCTCCCCCTCCCCTTCCCCCCCACACACGGCTTAATCCGTTCGACCTCCAGCCGGTCTTGTTCTCTCCTTCACTTTAAGCTCCGCTCCCTCTTCAAGGTGCTCCAGCCGTGTTCGGGGATCAGCTGCTAAGTCTTCTCTAAGCTGTGTCTATTTACGAAGAGTGTCTCTGTCTGTCTGTCTGTTGTGTTCTCTTTTCTAGTTGTCTCTTTTCGTTGTTGGTTTTTGCCGTTATTCTTGTTTGTTTGTTTGTTTGTTTTTTTCTGTTATGGATGTGGTTTTTCTTTTCTCCTATTTGCATTTTGTTCTGTCAAGATTTTTATTTTTGTGTCTGTATTTATCTCTCTCTTTCTTTTACTTTCACTCTTTTACTCTTACTCTTGCATTTTCATCCTTACTTAATCTCCCTCTCTCTCTTTCCCTTTTTCCTCCCATTTCCCTCTCTCCCTATGCCTCGCTTTCTGCCCATGTGCCTCTCTCCAGTCCAGTCTTGCTCAGTAACTATTCACACAACGTCCGCTGCCCATCAAATGTTACTGAGACCATGTAATCTCGTGTGCTGTGTATCTTAATCTGTATGTATGTATGCATGTACTGTATGTAAGCCTGCATGTGTGTGCGAGTGCGTGTACGTCAACAAATATCTCCTAATGAGAAACCCAGCACCAACCAGAGGCCACTCGTAACACTCACCTCCTCCCACTTCCTGCTGTCGGGTGTTCCGGCGTCTCGTAAGTTCATGATCTTGAGTTCGACGTCTTTGCGTGTCCCGTCGGGCAGGAACTCGACCAAGCCGAACCGCTCGACCCTCTTTGCGTCGTAGTTCTCGTAGACTTTGTCGTAGGGGATGCTCACGTTCTTCAAGTACCTGGGAGACAAGGGGAAAATAGACTCAGTTAGTAGAGTCCTTTATCCGTGTGCGCTGGGGGATATATCGTGGTCTTCTGTGTGTTTGTTTGTGTGTTTGTGTAAGTTTGCGTTTGTGTATCTTTATATGTGTGTATCGTCACTAACTGCACTTAAGTTTAGAGAAAAAACGAGTTGTGATGTATTTGAATACATTTTCATCAATGATACATGATATGGTCAAAAACCGATCAAAGAATCTCTTGCACTGTGAAAATATTCATTCTCATTCATGCCTTTTCCTACTTTTGTCGTAATGAACAATATACATTAAATTTAGATATGCTTAAAAAAAATATTAGTAATATTGCCGACGACTAAATGCATTAGTGAATATAATGATAATTATGACAATAATAAAAATAACACCGCCAACAATAGTAATAATGATAATGACAACAAAAACAAAAATGATAATAATAATAGTGATAATCATAATAACAACAATAATGATAATAATAATAATAATAATAATAATAACAATAAATAATAGTAACAATAACAACAATAATAATGATAATAATAATAACAATAATATTGGTAATACTTATGAAATAATAATACTCATAGCGTAAATAATAAAAATAATAATCATAATAATAATGATGGTGATGGTAATAAGCTGGATAATAATGATGATGATGATGATGATGATGATGATGATGATGATGATGATGAGAAGGAGGAGGAGGAGAAAGAGGAGGAGGAGGAGGAGGAGGAGGAAGAGAAGGAGGAGGAGGAGGAGGAGAAGGAGGAGGAGGAGGAGGAGAATAATGATAATAACTGTAACGATGATAATAATAATGGTATTTAGAATAACATAAATAGAAATAATTTTAGCAGTAACAAAATCAAGACTAATGCCGCTAATGATAACAATAATGATAAAAGCAGTTCTAATAAAATGCTAAATATCAAACATAATAATAATAATAATAATAATAAATTCTTAAACAAAGCAATACGTAAGAACAAGAAAAATGTAAATAGAAACACTTCCTCCAAAGTATGTCTAAATATCCCCACCCACTTTGGGCGCTGATGAGAAAATTTTCCTCAAGCTCCTTTGAGCGTGTGGAAGGAGGTGACATCTAGCGGTGGGCAGTTCGGACGCGGAGGGGAGACTCTGCTATTACTGGTTTTAATCTCGGTTAAGTGTATATCGTGTGGAAAGGGGCTCTTTCTCTTCTTTGTTATTTTTTCTTTCTTCTGCTTTAATATGTTTAGGTTTGACTATGGTTTGTATTTGTGTGTGTGTTTATTTGTTGGTTTATGTTAAAGCTCGTATTTAAGGAGTTTCATCTCGCTGTCAATTAATTGGTAGAAAAAAAGTCTGCACCTCGTGGCCATAAGTTAAAATCACTATTAATTACTTATAATTGGTTCTTTCCCCTATCCATATATTCATCAAGCTATTTCTTTCTTAATAATAAGAAAAAGGAAAACTATATCACCGTGCATTCTGTATTGAAAAAAAATATGGAAGCAAATACCTAACAGAAATATATGTATTAACAGCATCAGCCCCATCTATGTGCGTGAACAAGACCCATTACAGGTTGTCTTTGCTCTTGCCGACCAAGTGCGATGGAATGGAAACACCCGCGGGCGCCTTCTTGCTTAAGAAATGATCTCATTATAACCTGGGTGTTAGGATCAAAACACATTCGGTAAACAGTAGAGGTAAAATACATGTGTGTGTGTGTGTGTGTGTGTGTGTGTGTGTGTGTGTGTGTGTGTGTGTGTGTGTGTGTGTGTGTGTGTGTGTGTGTGTGTGTGTGTGTGTGTATACATTTGAAATGTGAGTATCTTTAATAAATATACTGCAAAGAAAGGCCATTCATTGGAAGTACCGGAACACCCGGAGCGGTTGACTTTCCTTTTTTTTATATCCGAGTAAGTATATTTACAAGGCACAAGAGTAAGGTAAACTCCCCGGCTGGCTTGGGGAAACTGATAGAAGCATATACCTATGAGACCCCAAGTACATACGAGTCCACCAGCTAAGCAGCTTATATTGCAAACGCCGCAATGTTTGCGTGTGTGTTTATGCCTCCCTGCACATTCCGTGTGTCTTTGAGCGTGTATACGTATGTGTGACCACGACCGCCGCTGTCACCTGTTTGTGTGTGTGTATCAGGCGAATACTTGGACGAGAGAAATGCTCAGGTAAATATTTTCCGGGAATCACCTGGCGTGTCATATTAATGCCTCGGGATGAACAGGGAAATATTTTGGGGGAAATGAAAGCCCAGGATTCTTACGAGACACGGATGGGTCGTTTTCCTTCATAATTCTGTTGTTGAGTGTTAATGCCAGTAATTTTGAACGACACTTGAGGGAAACTTCTATTTTACAGCCTTATGATATCGCAGTGCTGGCCGCGAATGAAATTAATATTTTTGTGGTTATTAAAAAAAAAAAAAAAAAAAAAAATGTTGGAATACGTACATTTCATAGTTTTTGAATATGAAGTGAAGCGAACTTTATATGAACACGAAAATGAAGAGATTATACAACACACTCCTTGCTCTCTTAACCACTGTCTATATTTTACTAAGATTATTTTTTTCTGTCTTCACGTCATTAGCGATTTTATGCCCTTTTCCTTCCCCAGACGCTCCTATTTCATGGCAAAATCTAATGGGTACTTTAATGGGGCCCTTCGAATACGAACGCTCGCCTGATCTTCATAATTTCACATACGCTATCACGGTCCGCACATAACTGGCAACCCACCCTTATACTCTCTCTCTCTCTCTCTCTCTCTCTCTCTCTCTCTCTCTCTCTCTCTCTCTCTCTCTCTCTCTCTGTGTGTGTGTGTGTGTGTGTGTGTGTGTGTCTGGCTGTCTAACTTTCTCTTAATCTATCGTTTTCTCTTTCTCTTTAGTTTTTGTATCTGCCCATTTGTCTTTCTGTCTGTCTGTTCTCCTTTTTCCCTCCTTCTACCCTCTCTCCTCCCCCCTTCCTTTCTCTTCCCTTCTCCCTCCCTCCTCCCCTCTTAGACGTCAACTCGCTTCCCTTCCCTTCTCCCTCCCTCCTCCCCTCTTAGACGTCAACTCGCTTCCCTTCCCTTCTCCTTCCTTCCTCATCCCCCGCCCCTTCTTTTCCCTTCTCCCTCCTCCCTCCCCCTTCTTCTCCCTTAATCTTCCCTCCTTCCTCACTCTTCCCCTTTCCCCTTTTCATCCCTCCTCCCTTCTTCTCCCTCACTCATCCCTCCCCCCCTCATTACCACCCCCCTTCCCCTTCCCCTTTCTTCCCTCCCTCCTTCCTTCCTTCCTTCCTTCCTTCCTTCCTTCCTTCTCCCCCCCACCACCACCACCACCACCACCAGAGCACGAGAGGTCGACTGAAACCGGACCCTCCTCTCCGGATGATGGCCGGGGACCCTCGGGCGAGATGCTGCATCTTAGAGGCGGTTGTTTTTATCAGATCGCGAAGATAGATCGACATCCTGACTCTAAGGGAATGAGGGCGTGGGGGGGGGGCGAGGAGCGGGATTGGGGGGGTTAGGGGAGAGGGGGGTTAGGGAGAGGGAGGGAAGGGGCGAGGAGGAAATGGAAGGAAGTAAAAGGGTGGAAGGGGAGGGGATAAAAGGGAGGAGGAGGTTGGGGGGGGGGGTTAAAAGGAGAAGGAGGGGAAGGGGGAAAAGGAAGGAGGAAAGGAAGAGATAAAGGAGGGGAAGGGGGGAGGGGTTAAAGGAGGAGGAGAGGAAGAGGAAAGGAGCATGTTGTTTTTGAATGTCGGGGACGCCTGCTGCTCTGTATTCCGCTGTGTGACTTGGATCTTAGAAAAAAAAAGACATGGTACGTTTTTTTCCGCTTATATCTATCTCTTCGTGTTTAATGCAGATGATAAAAAAAAAAAAAAAAAAAAAAAACATTTGTATGATAAAGGTTTTTGCTTCGCCTCCCCCACCACTCTCTTTCTTCTCTCTCTCTCTCTCTCTCTCTCTATCTCTCTCTATATATATATATATATATATATATATATATATATATATATGTATGTATGTATGTATGTATGTATGTATATGTAATGCCTGACCATATGAATGCATGCAGAGAGAAACAGAGCCACACGAGCAAACAAATACCCAATATCTAAACAAGCCTCAACCCACACGAGACACCCGAGCACGTCCTCAAAAACGAAAAAAAGAAAGAAAAAAAGAAAAAAAAACACTTTAGAACCATAAATATACCGGCTACAACAAACACTGAAACACATTGGAGAATATACACGCCCATTTACACATAAATCTACGCAAATAGAGGTACATAGAGGCATAAAGTAAATAAACACGCCCACCTGGATTCATGTTGCAAATCTCTTTCATTTTCTGTGTTGCAAGGTATAGAATATATGCGTTTAATCTTGCTTTACAAATCTTTCCCCCAGCTTTTTTTTTTTTTTTTTTTTTTTTTTTTTTGCTCACAAATTTTCGATACATCAGTTTTTCTTTGTTGTAACAAATATACGTATACGAGACTTTTCATCAGTAAAAGCTGAACACAGTAACAATAATGTTTAACAATGATAATGACAATAACAATGACAATGATAATGGTAATAATTATGATAACAAAGATAATGATAATGGTAATAATTATGATAACAAAGATAATGATAATGGTAATAATTATGATAACAAAGATAATGATAATGGTAATAATTATGATAACAAAGATAATGATAATGGTAATAATTATGATAACAAAGATAATGATGATAATAACATGAAATAAAGATTGTAATAACATAAACATTGATAAGATTATATTGACATTATTGAAAATAAGACCAATGTTAATGATAACAATAATGATGATAATAAGACATGAGAAAAAGAGAGGGTCTGAAAGTAAGACTAAAAAAAAAAACAGACAGAAAAAAAATGAACTGAATGCCCCTGAATAGAAATGAAAGTTATTAAAATATATCTGTTTTCACTGTGAACCC